GTCCAGTACTAACCTGTGAAGTTGGCGCCTTGATGCAGGTACCTCGAAGATGGAGCTGGAGCTATGGCGCCACAGGTAAGTACCGCTGGCCTCCGCCAGCCATCTCTCCCAACTCTGCGATCTACCACCTAATAGCGCCCAGCGCTGAAGACTACAGCTATGGCTATGGGCGCCCAGCACCGAAGACTACTACTAGCGCTAATACTACTGCCTAGCGCTGAAAACTACTGCAGCGCTCCTCCTGAGTGCTGCGGCCAAATCCTGAAGACTACTCGTGCCTACTGACAACTACCTACCCGTGAAGTGCATGGGAACTTCCTATGTACTACCGGGTGTGCCTCCTGACTCGTGCGAGCAGTCCAGGAGGCTGCTCTTGCCAATGCCGAAGGGAGGCAGGGGCTGCAGCTGCAGCTCCTGCTCAAGCTCGTGAAGAACAGGCTATTTCTGGCCTGTTCCGAACCCCTGTATGATCAAACGACAAGGATGGAATATCGCTGGATATAACACAACAGTGACAGAACAACATAAAAGGGCATTGTAGTGCCATACAGAATAGGATGTAATAGGGTAGGATAAGATAGGATAAGATAGCATAAAATCGTATAGGAGAGGAGAGGAGAGGAGAGGAGAGGAGAGGAGAGGAGAGGAGAGGAGAGGAGAGGAGGGGAGAGGAGGGGAGAGGAGGCTAGGGTAGGCTAGGGTAGGCTAGGATAGGCCAGGGTAGGCTAGGATAGGATAGGGTAGGATAGGATAGGATATGGTAGGAGAGGATAAAATCATATAGGATAGGATAGGGTAAGATAGGATAGGGTAGGGTAGGATAGGATAGGATAGGATGGGTAGGATAGGATAGGATAGGATAGGATAGGATAGGGTAGGATAGGATAGGATAGGATAGGACAGGATAGGTGTGGATAGGATAGGATAGGATGGGATGGGATAGGAGGGAAGAGGGAAGGAGAGGAGAGGAGAGAATGGATAGAATAGGGTAGGAGAGGATAGGGTACGGTAGGGTAAGAGAGAAGAGGGGAGGAGAGGAGAGGAGAGAATGGATAGAATAGGGTAGGAGAGGATAGGGTACAGTAGGGTAAGAGAGAAGAGGATAGGATGGTGTAGGGTAGGGTACGGTAGGGTAGGATATTACACAATGGGATCATATACGATAGGACGGGCTAGAACAAAATAGGTTAGGGTAGCAAAGAAAATGGGAGGACAGTAAAAAAGGTGGGATGGGGTCGGGATAAAAATGGGGCAGGGTAGACTAGGACTGGGTTGGATGGGTGGGGTAGAAAGGATAGGATAGCATAGTGTAGAATATGATGTGATTTAGCTGACCAGCATAGAGGATAGGATGTCATTGGATTAGATGAGACAAGAAAGGACCAGACAGAACAGAACAGGACAAGACAGAACATATAGGATAATATAGGATTATTTTGAATTTTTCTGACAAATAAGGAAAAAAAAAGGCTAGGATAAGATAGGATGCATAAGATAAGATAGAGTACGGTAGTAGGGTATTTGATAGGGGAGGGCAGGAGAGGAAAAAACAGGATAGGAGAGGATATGATACCATTTGATAGGGTAGGGTAGGACAGAACAAGACAGGATATGAGAAGAAGATAGGGTAGGATAAGGTAGGGTAGGATAGGATAGGAAGATGTTAGGATAACATGGGATTAGGGTAGGGTAGGATAGCAAGACGTTATGCTAAGGAAGGATAGTGAAAAAATAGGGTAGGACTGAAAAGGTCAGCGCAAAATCGGATATGATATCGAATGATTGGATCGGATTGGATAGTCTTTCCTCCAAAATCTCAAACTCACGAGATGAGTTCTTCCCGCTTCTTGGTACATCGCTGTGAGCTTTTTTTTTTTTTTTTTTTTTTTTTTAAGCATTTTTTTAACCTCACCTTATCCTTACCCATATCCATATCTAATCTAAAGTTGTCTGAATTATTAAGTCAACAATAGAAATAGAACCCACAGCCCTAAACCTCAAAAAAGCTTATGTAGTGCAGTTTTAGGCAAAACAGAAAAACACTGACTTGGGCAGCCGAAAAGCACTGGCAAGAAACGTCCAAGCGGAGTGCAGGGGTATGATTCAACTTCATTTGAGTTTGATAATACTGATAACAGGATCAAAGGGAAAAAAAAAAGAAAAGAAAAAAAGGGAAGAACTCCGGAAAAAAAAAAGATAACTGGATACATTTTGAAAACAAGCCACTTAGGTTAGCGATGCAAGACGTCTACCTTTCCCTTTTTCTTTTTTTCTTTTTTCTTTTTTTAAAATACCAAAAGCAGGTCCTTATGGCCCTGGCTCCATATCCGTTCTGGAGAGCATCAGTTCGGTTCCTAGTCCCCCAGCAAGTCGAGAAAGTACATCGACTATACGCACACGCTTCCTTCCGTTTGGCCAAAGGATCGCTGAACAACGTCCAATAGTCGTTGATTGTTCCCTGTTACAGGAGGATTGCCTGTCCGCTTGCCCTTCCTCATGTATTCCCCTCAGGTTCGATCTGTGGACCTGTCAGCTTTGGCTGTCCCCCTCTAGAATCATGAGAATGCAACCTTGTTTTTCCCATCTTGCGCCAGTCCTTGAGTTGGGGTTTCATATGGCCGGCCTTGACACATGCTTATCCATTGTTGTGGCCCACCTTCCGTCC